TTATGGAGATGTAAAACGCCATTAGCATGTTGTGTCGTATATGTACTGTACATCGAAATGTAAATCAAATCCCTAAACATTTATTTGGCTTTTTGACTTTTTTCCCCGGACTTTTAGGCAAAATACTGTTATAGCAAAATGGAATAATAAAAATCTGACACGTCTAACTAGCAGCACTCGGCAGATAATGAAACTACGCCGTAACGAGTTGTGACCGGGCAGTCGTGTACAAATCGTACTGCCGATGACTAACATGTTCTTTATAATCGTGTTCTAAAGTACAATTTTATATTATTTTATATCTATGATAGTATCGGTTTTTTTGTTGATGTATAACGCGTTATAAGTACCTAATGGATATTGTGATATGATTAATTTGGAATTTATTATAGGTACCTATTATAGGTCAATTTTTTTTAATATCATAGATAAGTATATAATATGTCTTATACCTACAACAGGGACAGACTGACATATCGTCTCCGCTCAGAATCGTTTTTCTTACACAATGATATTATATCATTGAATTCAAATTTAATACTATCCATTATACAGTTACCCACTTGTAACCTACTGTACAGCAGAGCAATTTTATTTTTATTTTGCATTATCATACGCTTTTGAGCTTTTTTATGAGTTTCTTAAGAACGGTTTTTTTGTATACTTAACTTTTGTGACCTCGTGCACCGTAAATCACAATATACTATGTTATATGTCAAAATAAAAATAACATTTTTTTTGACAAATTTAATGATGAAAACAGCAGCACTGCACGTCTCTTCGAGTAATAAATGCAAACGAGTTTACAGAATAGGAAATTTATAATTGATGACCTCGGGCTCGTACATTGCAGTGGTTTGTCACACCTGTAGCAGTTATATAATAATTTACTAAATTAACACTGAACAATCAAACAGCGTTTTATTAACTCAAACCTCTATTAATATTTTGTTTAAATACATTAACTTTTAGGTACAAACTACCTATTACCCACAATACCTAATTGTATATTTTCATACTGTCACTTGTACTAAGGTATATATGCATTACGCATGGGCATGGGGCATTATGCAATAATGTATATTATGTTCAAACCATATACTTATTAAGAAGAGAACACAATAATAGAGCGGGAGATCCAGTAGAAAACATTGTTAGAAAAAGATAGCATAAAACTTAGGTATACCAATTAATAGGTGAAAATAATACTAAAAAAGTTAGGTATTGCGTTTTAAATTAATCGAAATTAATTTACTCAAAAAAATGTTTATATTTGAAAAAATTCAAAAAATAAATTAAAAGTAAATTTAATATGAACTTAATGACATTTTTATAACTAAACTAACCATATAACCAATATCCCACTCGTCCACTCTTTACTATAAATAATATATTTATATATATTATAAGTAAGCCTTGTCGTACAAACGAGGATGCCAAGAGTTGCTTAGTACCTCCAAGTTATATTAGGGTTATTTGACTAAAAATATTGTTTAAAGTAAATCAGAGATGATGATATTAAAAATTGTCTTTTTAATAAATATTTGCTGAAAAATCGTATGTGCATGATATAAATATAATTAAGTATATAATTAATTAACTAGTTATATTTATATCATGTATTGAGGAGATATGTGGATGTCACTATAGCATTATTGTGCATATGAAAATAACTGAATTGAGTGTTCACTCGAATTTTAAAATAGTAAAAAAAGTATCTGTAAAATTTACGAAAATTTACCTGACCCGTAAAATTATTACGGCCATATACAATCCTTGATCTTCATACATGTAAAGCAATTGCCTATAGTATGAAACTATGAGCATAACCACGGAGCAGTGTAGTTTGAACCCATGGATAACCCCCGGGTATTTCACAGGCGTTAGCTGGGGTCATTGACTAGTTTTCGATGCGTGGACTATATAGTGCGTATAGCTACGCACGTGGCTTGCCTTACCCACACTCACATCTTCACTATCCTCTCGGCCCACCACTCTTACATAACTGACACGTGGAGTCGTCGTTGCACGCCGAGTGCGTTAATACTGCCTGTCGCATACATGACAAAATATTATTATAATTTATACCAGCGGTTCTTAACCTTTTGTAGATCGCGGACCCCTGATGAAAGATTTTTAGAAATCGCGGACCCCCTCACCAAATTTTTTACAAAACGTCTCATATTATCATAACCAAAATTATAATAATTATTTTATATTAAAAATTACATTACTAGACAACCAACATACACATTTCCAATATTTTTATTACAATTAATTTTTTATAAAAATGTAATATAAAACTATAATTGAGTACGATACTACGATCGATCAACTGCAATATTATGGTGGTAGTAAATATAAGACTGCCGAGACTTCAGTGCTGTACGCATGTACATTTCGTATGAACAAGAAAAACTGATTACCTACTTAATAAATACTAGTAATACGACTATTTGGTGTAGAATCTACACATTATATATGAAAAAAATTATAATAATCCAATAATATTGTAATAATGCACTCAGCTGTCACTTATTGATGTATGTTATGTGTTGAGGCTGCCGCGGACCCCCGACATGAGTATCGCGGACCCCCGAGGACTATAAGAGTTTGTAGTATGCTGGTGTTATGCTAGGTACTGGCAAACCTCTCTTTCCCGCAACAATTTGACCGACAACTTTGTCTCATTTCAACACAAAGTGTATGACGTGCACGGCTCAACAATTCAGCCAACTGTGTTTTTAATTTTTTACATTTTATCTCCCAAAGGAAGATCTGGCTGCTAGAATCAATACAATATGCAAGTATGTGCGAGTTGTTCGTACTAATAATATTATAGTTATTGATTGTTTGTAAACTCATTGACATTGTTCGTAGGTACATAATATGAGGCCCGTTTCTATATAGAAAATTTAATCTATGGCATTTGCAACTAGAGATGTCTAATTAACCGGTAAAAAAGTTTCGGTAAATTAGTAAATTTTGGAAAAAAATGTTTAGCGGTAATTTTTATTTAATTTTCGAAAAAAAACTTAAGTACCGAATTTCTTACCCTCTTCAACATTTTTATGGAGCTTTCAATTGTAGGATAAATATTTTTATTCCTTTTTACCTACTAACCTATCAAACCTATTCTACTTCTCCTATATGACTATTGACTATAATATTAGTCTATACCTAAAATTGTAAATGGCTCTTTGGAAAAAAAATACTATTACATATTTCATTCAGAACAAAAAACAATATGAAAAATAAATCTTGAAACTTGTATTAAACAATAAACATAACTTCAATATCAACATATACTTTTATGTTTTTGGTGTAATTGCATTTATCAAAATAAAACAAAAAGTTAATAGTTTATAATAAACAACAAAACAAATAATAAAATAAACAATACATCTTTTATAAAACAATAAAAATTAAATAAATAACATGACTGTTTGCTGAATACTGAATAATACAGCAATATGCCAATAGGTATAACATAATTAAGCGAGTGTATTTTGAATTGAACTAAAAAAATAAAACATTAAAACGTGGAAATATATAACTATTATAGTATTGAACACGATTATATGTGCATGTTTAATACAATGTAAGTGTACTAGGCAGTAAGTATTAACGTGGAAGTCACTATCACAGTCACACAGAACGAGTAACGACAGAACACAGAACACTTAAGGTGCGCACACACTGCTGCGGTAGACGGTACGGTAACGATACGGTAATCAATATTTTATTTGTGCGGTAATCTTTACCGTCGGAGCTTGCACACTGATCCGGTAACGATATGAGTTACAACTAGCACACACTGCTGCGGTAATGCGGTACGATATATCTGACACACATATAAGAAATTTTGAGGTTTATACCCTCTCAATTTATTTTCAAAAATATTTTTTTCCGACAGCTATGTAAAATTGTAAAATTAATATGAATATTTTTGTTATAAACCCTTCCCTTCCCACAAGACGATAATTTCCCTGTAAATGAGCCTATAATACAAGTCTTAATATATGTGTAGGTACCTAATGTCTTAATTTTCTTATTATTAATTGTAAAAAAACTCTATATCAAAAAATTATAATAAATTAATAATATACGTACTATACGTTAATCAAAATGCTTTTACTTAAAGCTAAATTAAAAAGTAATTATATAACTGAGTTAAGTTCATATTTTTTCAGGTGTTAACTTTAAACTTAAGAGTGAAGTATAATGTTTATTAAATCTTAAATTATATCTTTCTAAATGTTGACTTGATTTAACTTAACTAACTAAAGGTAATTTTTGCCCACATTTGCAGAATGGGAGTATAGGAGTATATTTGATAAAAAACTTATTATTAATATTAATTATTATGATATGCCTACTGGCTACTGTACTTTTGATACTTAATTTAATTATTAATAATATAATTATATTACCTTAAGGTAGTACGTATACATATAGCACTTAATGCCATAATGGTAATATAGTTGTACAACTAAACAGCTTCATATTATGTATGTCATAATTATTACAAAATAGATAAACATTATTGCTATTAATATTTATCGGCCCGGTAGACATGGGCGCCCATTGGGGGGGGGCAATACAGGGCACTTGCCCCCCCCCATGGAAAAAAATTTTATGAACTTGTAGCTCAATAAATATTACCACAATATTACCTTATTACCGAGGAAAATTATTTGTTGAAATCACTTTTAAGATATGAAATAAGTATAAAAATGTACTCATTGTTATCGTATATTAACATCATAGATAGCCAGATAGGTCGTAGTCTGTAGTTCATATGGGTACCTATACGTAAAATTATTTATCGCAGATAATTTGTGGTAAATCCATAAAAATCACAATATAGGTACTACAAATATTTTGTCAGACAAAATTAACTGCATTTTAGTCGTCCACTTTCTGTGTGACATTATATTTAGTGCTGACTGCTGAGTGCCATTAGTGATTATTATTTTTTTAAATTTTCAATTTTTACTATGGATATTCGATCGTTTTTAAGTAAAAAAAAATCTGATGAAGATAATGCATCTGCTGTGCTTGAGCCACACACATCGAGAAATACAAGTGTTTCTGCTCAAGTAAATTCAAACCCGGAATGTTCTACGTCAATAAATACGGTACCTACATTAACTATTAATTATACGCCAAATGATTGTGAGTCATATCCAGATTTAGGATTTTATATTAATAAATCAAATTTATCAGATGAACTTAAATATAAATTACTAACAAAACCAAATGTTCCTTCTGATAATTATGATTTTAAGAATGACCGTATTGCACAAAAAAGGAATTTTAAAATAGAATGGCTTAAACAATATCGCTGGTTAGTTTATTCTAGACATTTAAAAGGCGGCTTATGCAAACATTGTGTTGTTTTTCGTCTTGTCGTTAAAAGAGGATTATTAGGAACGTTCATTATTGTAAGTGAATTTACCAAGTATAAAGATTTTCATTTTCACTTAATATTTTTATATCACTGCCTCCGACAACGTGCACAATAGAAAGATCGTTCAGTACAAATTGTCATTGGTCAACTTCATTTGGGTGTAATTCTTTGTAATTGCAGCCACCCTAGTAGCCAGTACGTCAGATAGCGGATAGACAGCATAGTTTTAAGCTGAAAATCCTCAGGTGGATTCCGGACACGACCTAAGCGGCTATAAGTGCAACTAACCTTGGTAGGCAATGTGCGAAAATTTGATATTTGCTTGAATCTGATCTGAATCTGAAAATTAAGAAAAAACTGGAATTTGTACGAAAAATCTGTTTTACAACATTTGATATTCACTCGATTTCTCATGTAACGATTTTCTTATTTTTTTGTTAATAAAAAACGAATGACTGTAGATACTGGAAAATTTCACTGAATATTTATATTAGCATTTTCAATACACATAAAATTTTGAGAATAACTTTACTCTTTTTGAGCTGTTTACGGATATCGTCAGTTTTTAGTTTTTTTTATTTTTTTTTTCTATAGATATCAATAACATTTTATTTGATGGTTTAAAAAGCTTGAAAATTTAATGCAAGGTTCCTGATTATTGTTATAATAGCAGTTGAAAAATATTAAAAATACATTTTCACAATTTTTTTTAAAAGCATTTAAAGTCGAATTTTGACAAAATTTATCAAATTTATAATGCAATAATTATTGTGTAGTTAAAAATGTAAAAATGTTCAACTTTTATAACTAAGGATTGAAAATTTAAAACAAGGGTTCACCTAAATAGGTTATAAATAAATTACTTTATGCACAATAATATCATTAAATACCTATACATAGTAATAAAATAGGCTGACTGACCGTTTTCGCTCAGAATCGTTTTTCTTATACAATGATATAATGTCAATGAATTCAAATTTAACACCATCCATTACAGTAACCCACTTGTAAGTTGTAACCTACTGTAAAGCAGGCGACATCCACTTATCCACTTTTTTTTTTATTAATTTTATACAACTTAGGTAGGTATACCTAAATCACTGCAGAGATTACAATTTTAATACGGGCACACAAATATTTTGATAATAATAATTATAAATATAACTCATAAGTCAAATCATCAACAAACTTAATTTTGTTTAATATATGTATTGCTTAAGAGTATTATTGATAAATAAGAATATTTAAATCTATAAATTTGTAGTGTCGACGACGACTTAAGATAGTAATTAATTCAGTTCATTACATATAGATAGAAACATATTAGTAGAAACCTTTACATTGTTAGATTAGATATTTAATACAAAATGTATTATGTTTGTATCTATAATGTGGCTATGTGAAGTTTTAGCGTTCTCCTTTAAAATTAAATGTTATGAAGCCATATCAAAAGTCGCATAATTATTTACCCCGTGCTTACAAACAATTTATGTCTCCCATAATAAACAGCCCAAAGCATTATATTTTGTGTTTTAAAGACAAATGATTTATTTGTTTCATTTCTGTTTAATATAGTTTTTGTTTTTAACCGTTTTTGTAACAAATGGTGTTTTATTTAAAACGGTTAATTTGTACGCGTAACTGTTCAAAAGTATTATTTATATTGACATCTTCTTATTTACATTAGTTAATTATTATTCAGATAAAAAGAGACCTCGAATTTTCTAAATAGTTTAAATTAAAAGTCGTATAACATAATAGAACTCTTTCTTTATTTATTGAAAATTAATTTAGTAAGTACCTAGGGACTTATATATAATATTATACTTTTATAATAATATTGTATAAATAAATCAGATTGTTAGTTATTTTAGACCTAACTTACTGATTTAACAAACGAGCAGCCACATGATTGCAATTTTGGACACATATTTTAGATTCTGATTGGAGCGAGGAAGCTAGCTAGTGGTTTTCCAATGATATTTTTTTTTTTCATCCTGTAAAGAAAGGTTCTACCTAATGGAGTGCTATGATTTCCACATATTATAGTATCTTATCTTTTAACAAATTGGAGAAAGATTGTACATTAGAATAGTCATTTTTAAATTGTCTTAATAGTTTTATAACGGCATGGGGAAACCACCAAACTTTATTTTTCTAACCGAATCCAAATTATTTGTATTATAATTTACATATATTTGCAACCAATACTTATAGCTTCAACTTTGAATGTACATTCATGAAACAACTTTTAGACAGTAACTATTTCCTCAATTTATTCTAAAAATAAAATGTTTGTATTGTTTATTATTTTTAATTTGTGATAAACTAATTTTTTAGTAGGTTCGTATTTTAGGTACCTACTACGACATTATTACTACGATACTACGATATTATAAGTATTAAGTATACATACTAATTTATACCTGATTTACGATCTAGTCTTAATATACCTACGGTCTTGAAAATAATTAACATTTGAAAAGTATTTTTATGTATGTATAATTTCTTATAAATCCTTTCGTATTTTTTAAATGAAGGCCTTTTTCATTATTTGACAAAATAATGGTTTTATGGTACTAACTATGAAACCTACAGGGCAACTCAATCATACGAGCATAATATTATATTGATATTATAGATACAATAGAAATTAGAAAAAAGATTTGATTCAGTTTAATAATATTAGGGGGCATACCTATGTACTTCGGTAAACAAAAAAAAAAAAAATTACTCTGATTTTTAAGGGTTTCTTTGAAACACATATAACTCGATACAATTATACAGTTATATTATACCATCGTGTAATATGCACATTCTTGTATCAAATCTTAATTTGTGCTAAGTTAAAATAATTAATGGTCATTTTTTTTTAACTTATTCCTAGATATTCTATTCATCAACCAAGTAAATTTTAATAGAGTAGAGTGTTGAATTTTCCTTGGAAAATCAGAGAACGTTTGGAAACACATCAAACGATTATATGAATGTACTTATAGTGTAACGTATGTTACATCATTACGTTTACTTTATATGCATCATAATATGCACATTAGGCATATTATGCGCTGACTGTAATAATATATTAAGCCCCTCCGGTTTAGGTGACACATATATATTTTATGATTGTAAGGCTCCGGCCAATATCCCTATGTAAGAGAATACCAGTTCTCCGCGAGTCCATCACGTGCACCTGAACTCCGTACAATCCTACATTTTTGGTAACTTTGTTCGTAAATTGTAAGTTATAATAAATAATTTGTTTATATTAATAATAATTTAGATCAATCGTTATTTATTTGTAATATTAAGATCCTAATACCATTCGTGCTCCCGAGCTACGGTAAAAATATATTCAAAAGAATTAATTTCTTCCCTGAATATCTTATATTTAACGGGCCATCCCCGACCACGTTACAATAGTATATTTATTCATTCAATCACTCAGTATCTTGGTTTATTTCGTTTTTCTAAGCAAAACAGTACGAATCATGAATGTGCATTTTACCAAAGTTTTTGAAAAAGTGTACTTAAACGTATTCGTATCCAAACGCAGTATCATTGTAAAAATATGATGTAAGTAAACAAACATTATGTTCATTTATTCAATTTATGTAAAAAAAAACAAAATTATAAGGAAAAATTAACGTATTCCTTAATTTTTATTTGGGTATTCCTGGTGCTTTTGTAAATATTGGGAGTATTTTTACTTCTGACCCTTCAAAGTACCAACTAGATTCATTTTCCTTTTAGAAAAAATGCTGTTGAAAAATATCTAAGCATTTTTCCTATCCTAAAAGGTTATATAAATATAACTAAAAAATAAAATGGAAAAACACATATCATTGTGAAAAGAATGTACACATTTTGAAACTGTGAAGACAAATTTGTAAAAATTCTATAACAATTGCTCACAATGTTTTGACTTGAATTTTAAACATGGTTGTGACAGAGTCTTCCAATTACTGACAGATAGTGGTTACTTCTGCGAAAGGTGAGGAGTATTATTGGTGTTACAAAATTGATACTCAAGAAATAATTATTATATTTGAATTTTAGATTTTATAAATACTTTGTTTTGTACTCAACATAATAAGCTCTATTTAAAGTTTAAAAAGTAATACAACAATAAATACTGGCTTAAAAATCTGTTTAAGTCAATATATTTTAAACAGAAAAGCATAGTAACCAAATATTTGTATAAAAAACAAATACGCATTAAATAAAATATTATTAACTAATTGAAGCAGACTATACACCAGAGGACTACCATGGAGAAGAAATCTTACCCATGTGATGTCTGTGACAAGTCGTTCTCTGTGAGTAGCAATTTGATGGCACATCGACGAACGCACACTGGCGAAAAACCGTACGCGTGCGATGTATGCGACAAGTATTTCACTCAAAGTGGCAATTTGACATTACATAGACTCACGCACACTGGTGAAAAACCGTTCGCGTGCGATATATGCGACAAGTCGTTCTCTGTGAGTAGCCATTTGATGGCACATCGACGAACGCACACTGGTGAAAAACCGTACGCGTGCGATGTATGTGACAAGTATTTCACTCAAAGTGGCGATTTGACAAAACATAGACGAACGCACACTGGTGAAAAACCGTACGCATGCGATATATGCGACAAGTCGTTCTCTGTAAATAAAAGTTTGACTGCACATCGACGTACGCACACTGGCGAAAAACCGTACGCATGCGATATATGCGACAAGTCGTTCTCTGTAAATAAAAGTTTGACTGCACATCGACGTACGCACACTGGCGAAAAACCGTACGCATGCGATATATGCGACAAGTCGTTCTCTGTGAGTAGCCATTTGACATCACATCGACGAACGCACACTGGTGAAAAACCGTACGCATGCGATATATGCGACAAGTCGTTCTCTGTGGGTAGCAATTTGATGGCACATCGACGAACGCACACTGGTGAAAAACCGTACGCGTGCGATGTATGTGACAAGTATTTCACTCAAAGTGGCGATTTGACAAAACATAGACTCACGCACACTGGCGAAAAACCGTACGCATGCGATATATGCGACAAGTATTTCACTCAAAGTGGCAATTTGACATCACATAGACGCACGCACACTG